CTTCTTGCCACCTGAAATTCCCCTGTTGGGATTTATGATCTTCTTTCCCATTTCCCACCCTGCCTAGCACACCTGTGGCGTTCCTTTGGGCTGTTGGAGGCTGGTTGTGTTCTGCCCCACAAGAGTTGCATTTCAGACCTTGATTTCCACTTGAAAATAGGGAAGACTTGAAAGATGAATTTGGAAAAACCAGGAGAAAAAATCATGAGAAGTTTTGAGCTCCTGTTTTGTCCCACTTTTCCCTTCATGGAAAGTTCTTGGAAATCTGTTGTGTCCATGAGGCATATGGGACCATGTACAGGACATCATTGCCCATAGCCAAGGAGTAGTGCAAAGGGCTGTCTCAAAATCAGGTGCTTTGTGTAGGGTCTTTTGTAGGTTGAAGCGTGATGAATTGTTTTGTCCTTTTATAAGGTCTGGCTACTGTGACCCTTCAGTTTAGTCTAAGTGATGCAAAGACTATTAGGACTGGTTCCTGTAACATTTGCATCAGCCATGATATTGCCACACCAAAGGGTGGCTCATCACACCTCTGCCAAGGGCTCTTTCAGTGCCCTTGGGGTGAGATGAGTATCTGGGAACAAGAGGGAGAGAAATCGGTGAGAGGCTTGGAGAGGCAAGGTTGTGCAAAGCAGTGTGGAGTTCACATGGGTCTTAACAAAGAGGCATTGATTGGAGACTCGCTGTTGTGACAGAGCTCACTAGTGCCTGGAGATCATTTCCACAGCTTTCTATATGGGGGAGCAAGAACCAGATTTGCAAGTGTGGGAGCCTCAACGCAACAGCACCCCCGGGCTTTGAGGAGAGAAGGTTTTCAGGTTCTAGAGCCACCAGCTGCCACTTGATTAAGCGCCCCTCACACCCAGGGAGTCCAGACCTTCCTTCCCAGCCCACTGCCTCTGCCTCAGGGCACCACGAGTTCTGCGCAGTGCCCCCAAGGCCTTGCATGACCTAGTAAATATCTGGGTTTGGGATCGTGGGGAAAGGCAGCAGCACAAACCACTTCAGAGGCCAAGGTGGAGGAGTAGGATCTCAGAGGTCTCCACTAATGAGGTCTTGGCACCGACATGTCTTTGGCACTCAGCTGGGCTTTTTTTACTGCTTTTGGTCCTCAACAAAAAGTAACACCAAAAACCTAATGAGTAAAGCGCAATTCGGCAAGCTTCAACCTATACAGCTAATCCTTCCCCGTGTGCTGGCTGCCCCCTGGGTGGTGTCGGAGCAGATTGGTGGGCACTGGGAGATCTGGCACAGGAACTGCAAATGGCAGCGTGGGTCCCGAGCCTTTTCTCTGCCACGCCGACCACACACATCATTCGGCAAAGAACAAGCAAGGCGAACCCCAGCATTGCACATGCACACACACATCCTGCTTAATATGTTCAAGCCTCTCCAGAGGCTGATGAGTGATTTTATTTTCTCCTCCCTCTCCCGGCCTTGCACGCTCATCGCCATCAATTATCTATGCATTTGCCCTGATGAATTATTGAGTGTGTAACGGGGCGAGGGAAGACCCGCCATCCCAGCTCAGTCACCTTGCAAACAAACGCTCCCCAAAGCATGACAGCAGCTAGTTTGCCCTCTGGCTTCTGATTTAGGATGGGGAGCATGGGAGGCTGATCCTGCAACTTGCAAAACCCCTTCACTCCATCTATTCCCCTTCCTCATCCTTGCTGTTGAGGTGTGGGTGTTATTGCCGTGGTACGGAGCAGAGCAATGGGTGCATTATTTCCCTGATGAGAGGCCTGCAGGAGCGGAACATAAAGAGTTTACACTGTCTTGCAAAAGAGCCGTGAGTTACTGAGTCACTTGGAAAGGAAACACGATTTCCGCACGGTGTTTGGGGTTTTTGGGGGTATTTTTTGTTTGTTTTGTTTTGTTACTTCTTCTGCTGTTTTTTTTCCCCTTTTCCCCTGAAGCCTCTAGAAAGTTTGGAATGTGTTTTTGTTAAAGCTGCTACATGTAGGGGCCTGAATCCCAGCGTTGGCAGCCCTTTGGTGTTGGCAAGCAGTCCTCAACTGGCACCGGCTCTTTCCCTAGCCAAAAGTCTGACTGTACACCTGGGCAGAGGAGGGTTCTGCAGGACCGTTCTGGGGCTTGGTTCAGGGTCAGGTTTGTCAGCAACAAAGTCTGCTTTTTCTCCAGTTTGTATCCAAGTACAGTCTGCACTCCTGCATGGATCCTACGGCAGGGGTGGGGTGGAAGGGGCAGCGTAGAACTGGGAATTGTTACTACCACTCAAGGTCAAGAAACATCACTTGGTTTTTAAAGGGGTCATTCATTAATTTGCAGGGAAATCATAGCGTAAAGAAAGGGCATAGTAATGATGAAGTGAGGGACTGGACTGATCTCTTTTGTAATATATACCCTTTTCTCTGCCAGGTTGGCTGACAATATTTGAGGGGAAAGTCTTAAGTGCCCATCCTTGGGTAGTGGTGGCCTTCAGCCAGGCATAGCCTTCTGCTTGCCATGTTCATCTGCATGCCCTTCGAGGGAGAGACCACCTGCAAGGGCGACCCGGAGGAGGAGCTGGCAGCCTCCCGTCCTCTCCTTTCTGGGGTTTGGCTCATCTCTCTCTTTTCTGGCACCGTGAGGAGGCGCTGGGCCACGACTTCCTGCTGTCACGAAGGAGACCTCTTTTATTGGGCTGTGGAAAGCCTGGTTCAAAGGGAACCGCTGAGGCCCGTGGGGGGTCAGGGAGCTGCGTGTGGGAGCGGAGCCAGTTGTGCCATCGCCCCAGCCCCGGGCAGGCTCTGCCTGGGGGCACGGGCCCTTCTGGAAAGAGGTGGGGACCGGTGCTGATGAATCCGCTCTCCTGCAGCCTTGGGAGAAAGAGGGAGTGCTGAGCACACCTACACCGGGCAGCGGGAGATGGGCGGCAGGTTGTTCCCAGGGCCTTTGCTACGTGATTGCTTTGGCTCCCCGGCAAGCTCCCACACGCTTTGCGAAGCCCTAAAGACTTCAGAGCCAGACTGTTTGGCAAAGCTGTTGCTCACCTCCCCAGGTGCGGGTGATTCTGCAAGAAGCTCTCTCACCTCCGGGGTAGAAGGAGCAGCGTACGCTGCAAAGCATGTTGGAGACACCTCTCTCCCCATCCAGCCGTTCTTTCCACTAATCCCAGCATGGCGTTATCTAGATCCAGCCCTGCTCGGCACCCGGGGCCCTCATTTCATCAGGAAGGCTGTTGTGGGCCATGGGGTCCCGCAGGGCACAGGCCAGACCAGTGTCAGAAAAGTGTTTCACCGTGTCTTACTGCCTGGACATCCTTCTCTGAGGACTCTTAGAGCCTCTAAGGACTCGATGGCTTCATGCGTGCAGGCACAGGAGGGCACCAGTGCTTTGCTGTGGCTGTAAGCGGCGCTGGAAAACGTTCCCCAGCACCCAGCCGCAGTGCCAGGGTGTGGGGCAAACCCGCGCTTGACTCAGGGAAGGGGGCAAGTTCACACAAAGCTCTAGAGACCGAGTTTCGGTCTTAATTGCTGATGACTGTGGTCAGCTGATGGCGTCTCATGGCTGGGCTGGATTGTTGAGGCTTGTCCTCAGGGTCACAGGCTTGGCGTGGAGGGAAGGAGAAGGGGAGAAAGAAAAGTCTTAGATGAAATGTGGGGATCGGGCTGAGTACAGCAGGCATGGAATGAGGGGGCAACACGGGAGCGTGCTGAGAGGATGGTAAAGGTGGGACTTGTGGGTGAGAAGACTTGTACAGCTGCACTTGTGTGTGTGTGAAACTGCAGGAAGGAGGAAGGAACCGCTCTTGCTCAGGTTCACATGTTGAAGTCACAGGACACATCTGCCAGGGCTCTGGGGGGGACTAAGACTGAGGAGTTCATTTTGGCCTTGCATGGGGAGCCTGTTTGCTCCCTGGAAGAACAGGGTAGGAGAGACATTTCAAAAATGCTCTGTCCGCTCAGAAGATGCTGTCCTGTTTCTCTAAGCATTTTTTTTTCCCCAGCCTCTCTCTCTTTCATTACCCTTTCATGTTCCTCAGTCTTTGTACATCTTTCTTTTTTTATTACCCCTTTCTTTCCTCTTCTCTCAGTTCCCCAGAATACATCCAATTTCAGATTCTGCCAGAAGCAGTGAGCAGAACCCGCTTTTCTTGTTCTCACCACCTTGCTTCTCTATTGTATTTATCATATAAATACTGGCTGTATAATTACCAGAGCATTATCTCTAAACATACAGATTAGGGAAAGACACAGTGGCAGCCAAAGATGAATTTCAGGGTCAGTCTGGTGGGAGACATTTTTCTCCAGCTGTCAGGGGAGGAATCAACGGAGACAGAATAGCAGTCTGAACACCAGCCACCCCTCTTCCCGAGCACCTTTAATCTTTACTCCGCAGAATCAAGAGGGAAGGTTCCTAAATGCAGCCACTTCTGTGGTTAAAAAAAGGCCATAGAGACGATCTAGATCATGCAGTTAGATTGGGCAAGGTGTATGGGCACTGCCATAAATCTATTCTTATATGGGAACTAGTGCTACTCTGAAATCTGCGCTGAGTCTTTGCAGCTCATTTAATTACTAATGCATTTCCAATAGGATTAAATTGATGTCTGAGTGTCTGTTAGCATATGTTAGGATGTGCTATGCTGATAAATATCTGTGCTTTCATATGCCTCCAGATACGCATGCTCTCCGTATTTACAGCAACTGATTTAGCGTCATCCCAAGTTGAAGACAAAAGGAAGGAAAGTATTACTGATCCAGCCTTGTGCCTTTTGATGATGATGAGCCCTAGGTCAGCTGCAGAGCATTAGGGCTGGTTGTAGTGAAATGCTAACAGCAGTTGTGGGAGGAAAGGTGTTTATGAACAGGTATGGGGCTACAGGAGCTGCAGGTGGATGCAGGTAGTTGCAGAAGGTACTCAGGGTCTGTAGCTATAGACTGTTCTTGTATCAGCTAAGCCAAGAAGAACCTAATGGAATAAAGGAGTTCATGGACCTGATGTCCCAAGAACTGTTCTTTTTCTCTCTTTCTCTGTCTGAGACATATAGATTCATGTCTTTCCATTTTATTGCAGGGCTGCAAGCTCAGACTGTCTTAGTCAATGACACAGTCTCGGGGTTTATCGGGACAGACGTGGTCCTGCACTGCAGCTTCACCAATCCGCTCCCCAATGTGAAGATCACGCAGGTCACGTGGCAGAAAGCCACCAACGGTACCAAGCAGAATGTGGCCATCTACAACCCTGCCATGGGGGTCTCCATCCTCTCTCCCTACAAAGAGCGAGTGACTTTCCGGAATCCTTCCTTCAAAGATGGCACCATTCAGCTCTCTCGGCTAGAGCTGGAAGATGAGGGAGTTTACATCTGTGAGTTTGCTACCTTCCCAACTGGCAACCGGGAAAGTCAGCTGAACCTCACTGTGCTGGGTAAGATACTGGACAAGCTTTGTAACATGAACCATTGCCTCCAGTTAAACAGATCTGGAGGAACCTGAGACTCATGTCCTGGGAGCTCAGGGCGAAGGTGAATCTTGGGTGTAAATTTTACCTATGATGATATTTCAAGTTGAGTGTAAGGAGGTGAAGAGTAGGGAACCCAGAGCAGCTGGTTGATTGAGCTGTCTGAGGAATGCCTCTTCTTCTTTCCAGGCCTCAGTTCCCCAATCTTTTAATGCAGGTGCAGTAAGTGACCTGTTTCCTAAGGGAGTGGTGAGTTTTAATAAGCTGATGGCTGTCAAGTGAATGGAGAGAAAAGACAACAGAGAGATCCAAAGCACAAGTAGAGCTTGTCCATGGAGCTTAGGGTTGTGAATGAGCAGACCCCACCCAAGGACTATGTGATTCATTTGCTCTCCAATTTCAGTGTCTCGTTCTGATATAGGGCTGAAAACCTATAGTAGGAAAGGATGGACTTTCCATCAAGTATCTGTGCATCTGAGGCACCTCCACCCAGAGCAGATTGCTGGCAATTTGCAGCAGCTCTGGATTTACCACAAGGTCCGTCACAGACTCAATGGTGCTAGATGTCTCGTGTTGTTTTAAAAAAGGGTAACATTGCTTTTCTGACCATCCTTTCATACCCTTTTCTTCTCCTTTTTGCAATTCCTTGCAGCCAAGCCAACAAATCGGATGGAGGGCACCAAGCGGCCACTTATTGCTAAGTCTGGCAGGACAGAAAAGATCTTGGTGGCTACCTGCACCTCCTCGAATGGGAAGCCCCCCAGCACTGTCACCTGGGACACCAAGCTCAAAGGGGAAGCGGAGTTCCAGGAGATCCGGAATAGCAACGGCACCATCACAGTGATCAGCCGGTACCGGCTGGTGCCGAGCCGGGAGGCCCACCGGCAGCAGCTCATGTGCGTGGTCAACTACCAGCTGGACCGCTTCACCGACAGCATCACCCTCAACGTGCAGTGTGAGTGAGCACGGGCAGGGCTGGAGAGCAACGCTCCGTGGTCAGGCCCTGGGGTGGGTGATAAAGGCTGGGAAAAGAGGATTTTTCTGAAGGGAGGGTGTTGGTGGAGGGGCTGCTGTCTTTTTGTGGAGAGTGATCCCTTGAAATAATCATGTGCTTTCTCTTTTTCACACCTTCTTTCTCTCTCTGCATCTGACACGTCCCTTTGTTCCTCCCCTTCTCTCTCTTATTTACCCCATATTTTGTCCCACCATCTTTCCTTCCTTGCAATCTGTCTCCTTCTCCCACTCCTGCCCCTTTATTTCATCTCTTCCTGTTTAATTTTCTCCCCCTTCCTTTCCATAACTCTTCTCTCCTTTTCCATCCCGCTTTTCTATCTTTTTTGTCCCCCTGCAGATGAGCCAGAAGTCACTATTGAGGGCTTCGATGGCAACTGGTTTCTCAACCGGAAGGATGTGAAGCTGATATGCAAATCTGATGCCAACCCCCCAGCTCACACCTACGAGTGGAAGCTGTAAGTGCCTGCAGCGCTTCTGCTCTGAGCAGCACGTGTGTCCAGCTCTGCCTAGAGGGCAGGCTGTTTCTGAGGCAGGCAGTGCAGTGTTTGAAGCGACTAGGGCAAGGGACTATTTTTGGGTGGATGGGCTTTATCACAAATTTCATATCGCCTTTGGCCCCAGCTGACACAGCTGGAACCAGCTTTTTAGTTGAGCCACACGCAGCCACCTCCCCTCGTGACGGACAGAGGGTTCCCTGTCTTTCAGTTGGGTCTTGCCCCAGCATCTTCCAGTTCAGACTCAGAAGAGGAGGGCAGTGGGTAAGGATCATACACACCCCCTTTTCACTGGCCCAGGATGGAGCTTGCTACCAGCACAGTGCAGCCTTAATACCCAGGATAATTTCCTACTTTCACACCACTGGAATAATATTCTGCCCTGGTGACATGTGAAGCAGTGGAGATATGACAAGGTGAATAATCTGCCCAGCACTAAGTGCTTTGGTAGCAGCGCTGGAAAAGAACCCAGTATTTCTCTTCCTTAAAGGGGCACAAATAGCACAAAATTCATCCATGTGTGAAAAAACCTTTCCCTGGGATCAGCCCCAGCTTTAAGCAGGAGCTCCCCTTTGGAGCACTCATCCCCACGCAACTGACATTAAGCAGAAGCAATTCCTTGTCCTCCAGGGTTTCAGCTTTTGGCTGAACACACGAAAGGCACTGAAAAGTGAGCGAGGGGTGTCTGGGGAGTTGGATGGGAATTGATGGAACCTGAGGTGGTTCTCTCTCCCTCTCTTTCATTTCTATAAGCACTCATGTAGCTTTAAAAAAGAAAGATCAAATGGATCCTTTCTTCTTTTCAGCTGGCATTTGTCATCAGGAAAGAGGCTCTCAAAATGGCTTTGCAAGGAGCTAGGCATATTCTGTCTCATTTCACTTCCCAGATCAAACCGTTCACAGTGAAAGTCTGAAGAGGATTGTTTTTCTTGCCTTTTTTCTAGTTCTCACCCTCAGCTCTCTCCCTCTGTTGGTTCTGCCAGTTGGACTTAAACTCCGAGGGGGCTCTCTGGGTTCCTCAGAACGTTGCCAAGAAAGTATTATAGGCAAAGATGTCCCTTGTGGCACCCAAGGCAGAATAGATGCCAGTTTAGGCTATCTGTGTGCAACAGGGCTGGTGAATGGAGCTGAAGGGAGCCTTGTGAGATGGAGCTGGGGAGCGGAGGCAGGTTTCCTCTCTGCTTTTGGGCAAGTCATTTCATCCCTTTGGTCTGCTCTTGCTCACGTGGGGCTGGAGGCTGAGCGCTTGCTGAGCTCCTGGGCATCAGGCGGTCCATGGCAGGAGCTCTGTGCACAGACAGAGCCAGCAGCACAAGCAGCCCCTGGTCTCTGCTGGGACAGTCTGCTTCTGCTATGGCAGCGATGCTGAAGGCAGGCAGAGAGCTGAAGCGTGGGGTAGCCAGGTGATGTTTCTGTAGCCCAGGGCAGGAAAGAGGGTTAGGTACCTCCTAGACTCAAACACAGCAGGGGATGCAGGTGTCAGGGCTGAGCATGGCACTGCATGACTGAGTGTGAATGTGCCGTGTCGTTTGCACGCCTGGTTTACACACCGTGCATTCACCACTGGCAGAAATGATTCTTGGGAACAACATGTCTTTGAGCCGGGCATTGCTTTACGTAAGTGCCTATGTGTGTATGTAGGCATGCAAAATACGAGTGTGTGTGCGTTTAGGTACTTTTTTACAAACCTAATTATACCCCCATTATTCCCTTTTGTTTCTTACAAATTGCTGACAATATGTGCACGTTTTTCTTGGGAGGAGGGGAAAGAATTACTTGAGTAATTTTTAATTGCCTAAGAGAAGTAATTACTTTACTTTGCTTCAGTAATTAAGAATAACCAGGCCATGTGTGTCTTTTCCTAACACACAGGATCTTTTTTTTTTATTTTTTTATCTGCCTTGTTCATTTATTCTGTGTGTCTGTAGACTTAGTTTTGCATTACTCCAGTTTCACACTTCTCTAACTATTCTGACATGGGCAGGTCATAGGCGGCAGGGCTCTAAATCAGCACTGCTTTCCCCAAGCTTGAGTTGCAATTAACACTGGCTGATCAGCTGCCCAGGAGAGTTACATGGGCAGGAAATTGGAATAAAGCAGGGTCAGGTTGGTGTCCCGTTCCTGTATTTTCCATCAAATGGAAAGTCAGGGGTTGAAGAACACTGAAGATGAGCCTGCTAGAGGTGAGCCACCCAAGCCAAAAGAGTGGCCTGGCCACCTTACCCTAAGCTTGGACCTACTCAGGGTTTGTGCTGGAAAATAAAGGCTCCGAGTCTGTTTTCTGGACAGGGGAGAATATAGACTAAAAGTGCTCCACATCTCATTAGCTGAATCCAAGGGGCTGTATGTGACCCAAATATGTCCAATCTCCCTTGTAATCACAGAGAAGGGGGAAAAAAAAAACCTGATCCATGTAAAGAACCTGATTCTCATGCAACAGATTTACCCTGGAGACACTCTACTGGCTTTTTCCTGTAATGCTGCTCTCTGAGGGTTTGGTTCCAAGGCTGAATACTTTAATGGGTATTTTCCAGCCAGCACCACCAGGTTCTGGACCTGCCCAAGAGCAAGCACGGAACCAGCATGTCAGCGCCACTTCTGCAATACCGCTTGACCCTACTGAGTATCATCTCTGGGGTCAACCATGATCTTTGTTTTCCCTAGGCCAAATGGGACTCTGCCAGGGAGCGTGGAAATCCAGAACAACACCATCTACTTTAAAGGGCCTGTCTCCTACAGCGTGGCTGGCACCTACATCTGTGAGGCCTCCAACGCCATCGGTACACGGTCGGGTTTGGTGGAAGTCAATGTCACAGGTAGGAAAAAACTTGGTGTGCTTTGAAAGATGGAAGAGGAGGAGGAGGTGAGGAGAGTGTGAGCAGCTGACAGCAACCAGTCAGTTACATCTCCTTCGTGTCTGTCTTAATCACCAGTGTCTCCTTCTAGGGGCGGGGAGTTTGATGATGCAAAGGGATCAGTGAAGTTCTTTGCTTTGCATTGTTTTTGCAGTGGTTTGGCTTGGATTTTTTCTCCTTTCCTCTTGTTGTCTTTTCCTTTCTCACACCGAGATACATTCAGTTTGTTTTCCCCTTGTCTTCTGCTTTGGATTCAGAGACATCATTGGACATGTTCAAAGTGAAGACATGTCAGGGAGATATTTGTTAGAAGGTAGAAGAAGGAGTAGGATGAGTATATAGACTGCCACTGAGGCAGTAAAGCATGAGATGGATGAGTCATTTGTTCAGGATGGTGTTTGGTGTTTCTGATGTTAGGCAATTGTCGTGATTTTTCATTTGTGCTCCTTCCCATGCCGTGTTGGTCTGTGCACTTGTTCACCTGGCTGCCACAGATTAGTGAGGGTCTGTGAGCACTGGAGTAGCTCTGTCTGGGCTCCAGAAAGGAATAACATCACAGGATGCTGACCATGGAAATGATGCTATATGATGTCATACGGGACAGAAGGAATTTGATGAGTTGCAAATCAGCATAGCCATGGGAGTGAGGAAAAGACGTGGATATGCTTGGGTAGTGTCAAGGAGAGAAAGTGTTGTCAAGAAATAGGTTAAACAGAAGAAATAACATATGGCAATAGCCTGATTTCAGAGAGACAAAGTGGTACTGCAAAGCATCATCCAAGAGGAAAAGTGGCTGTTAGTGCTTTGAGAGCAGGGGAGGGGTAAAAGGAGTGACCCGTTTTCTTAGTGGGTTAATGACAGGCAGTGACCAGCAGCTGTGGGTCTCAGGAGAGAGAGATGAAGTATCTCTTGCAGCAGTGAGTTGGAGCACCGTCGCGCTGCAGTGAGCTTGGGGTTCTCGGGGGCCAGAGGAGGGAGTGACAATCGCTGAAGCAGTGCTGCCAGCCTGGGAGACACGCCTGGCAGCTGGGATGACTTGCCAAGGCTCCCCTCTGTGCCATGAGGTGCCATGGGGACTCCCAAGGCATGGGAGATACAGGGTGGGTTCCCAAGGTCGTTAGCCCTTCCTGCTGTCCAGCCCCAGGCAAAGCAGAGCGCCTGCTGCTCTGATAGCAGCCCACCTCTCTGAGCCACCCTGGCCCTTGAAGAGTTGTCTAACCTGAGAGTGATGAAACGGGCTGCTGAGAGGGGCTGCGCTCCAGCCCCTCCACCCTCCCTCTACAGTGGTAAGTGCTGAGCGAGCATAAAGATGGGGCCAGGGCAGCAGACCTCCTGAAATTAGCAATAACACTGTGTTTGGTGCCCTCACCACCTCACCTCCCCTATTCCGTAACATGGGTAAACCAAGCTAATCTTCCTCTATCCAAATGCTTGGAGGTCAATGGATGGGATGTGCTAATTAGATGCTAATTACCGAGTATTTATTTATGATCATTAGGCCTGTAGCAGGCCTTTAATTCACACCTCCTGTCCTGGATCCTTGCCTGCTGTGTTGTTTCTGGTAGATGCTTTTCTCTGGGGGATTTTTCATCTGCCAGTGAAAGGCACCAGAATAACAAAGCCCTTTGTTCAGGACAGAGGTGGTGCAGCACCCGCCCGGCCCGAGCACCCGAAGCCAGGGGAAGGTCATGGCCAAAATCCATTCAGCTGCTGGCCATTTCATGGGCCTTGCTCCCAAAGGCGCTGTGTTTCTGGGACAGGGCAGGCAGCTGCCTGGTACAAACTGAGCAGACTCGCTTCCCACCGGCGACAGAAAAACCATCCCACGCAGTAACCAGCACCTTGGGTCACATTGAAACACTGATCAGAGGGAAAAAGCCTCCAGCTCAATCCCCACTGACAGAGAAGGAGGTGGGATAGGTATTGCAGAAGAGATGAAAAGGCTCTCTCCACCATGTCTCATTTCCCATCTCTGTATAGCCTGTACGTCCATTCCTTGCTGTCGCTCTGTCTACCCAACCACCCCGTATCTCTTGTGCTGTCAGGACATACGTTCCCAAACACCAGATACAGCCTTCTCCACGTTTCCTACTGCTGCCTGCCAGCGTTTTATCTGTCTCAGCACCACAACATGGGGCATTGCAGCCACTCGCCTGCATGGGCACGGGCTCCTCTCGGGACGAGGGTCTGTGGGTTCCCCCTTCAGGCTTTGATAAACGCCTCCTCTTCTGGTGGTTTTTGGGGGACTGGTAGGGCATGGTTCTCACGCTCGACCAGCGCGGTGCTGGCGAGGGAAGCGGGGACGGGCAGGATTCCTGGGGAGTGACTTTGGGTTGATGTCTGCCTGCCTGTAATCTCAGTTTATTCCCAAAGGTCCAAATTGTGGGGTTGAGGATAAATGAGAAGGAAGGAGGGGCACACCAGCAGCTGCCCCGCTAGGAGGGATTAGCAGCCAGCCCATTAGACCAGGCCTCCACCACATAAAAAAAATGCTTTTAATAATTCATGGGATCTGAATATGTTTATCCAGCTCTCCCTAAGGACCGATTAGGCCAGTACTGGTGGGGGCTCAGCCGTCCTCGCTCAGCTATTACAGGTACATTTGTTTGGGTCTTGCAGGCAATTTAAGGATTGTCAGTGGACCACGAAACCTCTTTCAAGAGCTGCATGCAATAAATGGAGTTCAATCTAGTGAGCAGCCAACCTTGGGAGAAAAAAAACAGAAGGCTGATGCAGAGAAAACCCTGCAGTGGCTTTTCCCCCTCCTGTCTCCCTGGGTACAGACTTCTCCCCTCCTGCCACCCAGCATCCTTCCTCTTGGCCCCAGCCCCAGAGGGGAGGAGTGCAGGGCTAGTTCAGCCCCCTCGTGGGGCAATTTGTTCAGGGAGAGAAGGCTGAACGCTTCTGTTAGAGTTATAGCGCATTAAAGAGATTGATAAGTGGAAATTTATTATTTTATTCCTGCAATCTGTTCCTATAATAGCTTCTCCTGCCTTGCAGGACCTTTGTCAGTTGCAGCCAAGCCATGTAGTGTGACATGTAACTATTTATTACAGGCGGTTGGGTGACATAATAAAAGGCTGTGGTTATAGACTGCATGCGTGTCCCTGCATGCTGGCACATGGGTGTGATGGTCCTGCACAGAGCTGGTCACATGCACACATACGTGTGACCCTGATCTGCATCCTGGCATGCAAATGGGCCTCCCAGACCTGCATGCCTGTGTGGGGATGCCCTGCTACACGGACACGTGTGTGTGCAGGATGCAAGAGCATCGGCACGTTGGCATGTGTGAATATGCATGTGTTTATGAACATGTGCTCGGCTGCATGGGCTTGTGTGCAGCAGTGTGTATACACAGCTGTCCCTCGTGCAGGTGTGCACGTACACATGTGTGTGTACGTGGGGGGACATTCACGCACTTGTGTACTGGCTTCAGCCACAGAAAGCACAAGGAGAAAGATGTTGTTATAACATCTCTTCTGCCCACGGGGCTTCAAGCATCAGCCAAACATCAAACCCAAAGGAGAACCACGGTGCTGGAGTTGGGGGAGCAGAGCCTGTGCTGAGGCAGGGACTGCTATCACCCTCTCCTCTGCAGGGCTCCTGCCTGTTTCCCAAAGCCAGGAGAGGGTCTTTTCCTGGAGGATACCACAGGCTCCCCCCGTATTTCCCGGAGATGGGACACCATGCACACGTGCCCTGAGAAGGGGCTGTGAGGATGGGATGCTCTGTGCTGTTCCCGGGGGGCTCTGTGTGCTGTTCCCTTCCCAAGGCCGTGCCAGCCCGTGGGCAGGCAGCTTTGCAGCCCTGGCCTTGGATGTGCTACAGGCTGGAAGGGGGGAGGAAAGGCTGGCAGGGGCTGGACGCCCCCCCTCCACGCCGTTGCTTGGCTTGCAGCAGGGAGTTATTCGCACACCACCAGTGATTTTATCCCAGCAAGGTGACTGCAGGCAGCCCGTGGGGCTCACAGGAGCCCTGTGCCACGCTGCAGCAGGGCTGTGCTAGGGGCTCAGCGCCCAAGAGAAAGCCCTCTGCGGGCAGCCTTCAATCCCCAGCGTGGAGCAGGTGCACCCAAAGCCCTGCCGCCAGCCAGGGCCGTGCCACGCTGCACCGGAGAGCGCTTGTGGCTGCTGTGGGTGGGAGGATGCAGGGCCGGGGGCTAGAGAGGAGCGAGCCTGGGGGGTCTGTGTGATGCTAATCTTCCGGATGGCGGGTAGGAGTGTCTGCTGCATCCTGTCTGATGGCATCTGTGCCAACGGCCCCTGCGGGAGCAGCACTTGATTGACAAGCGATAGGTGACCTGACAGAGAGATTAAAACCTAATTCACGTTTGGCATCTGGCCTAAAAAGCCGTCACACTCTAAAATGCCAGTGGCAGCTGCTAAACTTCTGGATTAGTTGCCAGTGGTTTTTCCACCCCCACCGCCTCCTCTCCCCCTGGCCCTGCTCTGCTCAAGGAGAGCAGAAATCCCTGGTACGGAGAGGAAAGACAGGATCCCTTGAAGCCGGAGAACAGGCATGCATAAATGCAAGGGGTGTTGTAAAGGAAAAAGGCCAGCAGTGCTATGGGCTTCTCCCATGGCAGCCCTGTCTGAGCTGAGGCGGGTCCAGAGGTAGCTCCCTATCTCCACTTACGTACACGTCTGTAATACAGCGGGTCAAAGTCCTGGGATAATTTGGTGTGGACTGTACTGGCATGGAAAGTTTGCCATCAGGAATCGTTATCGTAAAAAATACCCACATGATCATAGCTATGTTTGCTCAGGCCATCTGGGAACTGGGAAGGATCACAAACCTATTGGAATTAAGGTTCTTGCTCCTCCCTGGAGCTGCTGCTCACCCTGTCTGGAACAGAGGCCCCCCTGTTTCCCACTGCAGCAGGTGTTTGATTTTGCAAGGCAGAAGGAAATCCAGGGCCTTCCTTTTGAGGACCTTCATGCAAGGAGCCGCTTGGGCTGACACATGTGGAAAGGTATTTTCTCATGGAGTTTGACATTCTCCTCGATGCCCGTGGCTACAGGGAGAATCTTGGCTGGTGCCGGGGTTTTCCTTGGCCCTTATGACTGAAGGGAAAAGGATGGAAATGTGACTTCAAGAAAAAAAAGCGGCCACAGCAAGATTTCAAAATATCTAAGCAGTGTGATGAGCAGAAGGGCTTTTGAAAGCTGGTTTCCTGTGGATCTGCATATCATAGAAGAGTTACTTGGTGTCTAAAAATATGCTTTGTCTGATCTGAGCCCTTCCTGCCCTTGGGAGCAGCCTCTTGTCCCTGTAGGTTCTCTGATGTCTAATGAGTTTTAGCTCCCACCTCTGCCAGGGATCCCACTCCAGCTCTCTGCAAGAGCTTTATGATAGGGATAATTTTGACTCATTGTTCTTCTGTCAGATACCACTGAAATTGGCCAGCAGGTTCAAAAAGCATTAGATAAGGGATTGATGGACAGGCAGGATGATTTGCATACGACTCATTATTATTGGAAACCGGCCATTAAAAGAAAGATACAATTTTTAAAACATCTCTTTTGGAAGCCACTCTTGTGATGGGGAAGGCCATCTTGTCCTGATTTGTCTCTGCAGCAGCAGCACTGCTGTTGCCCCTGGGTGCTGCAGGGAGAAGGCAGGAGCTGGGGAAGGAAGGGGGATGCTTGGAGCCCTCTGCCATGCATGGAGGGATCAAAGAGAACCTGTGGGCTCGGCTGGGTGCCAGAGCCAAGCCCAGGGTGACCCCCCGTCTCCCTGCGCTCCCAGCTGCTGCCCCAGAGGTCCGGCTCCTGGCACGGGGACAGGAAGCTGGGCTGAATGCAACAGCTGGCAGAGCCGGGCAGCGGGCAGATAGTGTTGCTGCTTTAATTCCTATTCATACAGCACTCCCTCTTTTTATGAGGGCTGGGGAGTAGCAGGAGGGGGGGGGGAGGCTTTTTATGCTGGCATTAAAGCCTGGCTTGTTCGCCCTCCCTCCACTCTGCTGTCTCCTGTTTCTCCAGCCCGCTTTTCACACTGGCTTTAATTCTCTCCAGACTCTTCCTAATGGATTTTTCACATGGGGCCCCCAGCATGCTCGGGCACCGCACCAGTTCCCAGAAATTTCACGCACCCCTCGAACACAAAAGGGGGGTCCCTTTCCCACACTTTCCCCTCTCTCCCCAGGCTGCAGCTCTGCTCTCTGCTGTACCCTGGCCACGAAACTGGGTGGACGGAGGGGCTGGGGCTGACAGCAGCGGGGGCACGCAGAGCAGCACCCTCTGAGGACCGGCCCCGTTAACGAACCCAGCCGTTGAACGCCAGGGCAGGGTGGGGGGATGCCGCAGGCGTGCCGGGCTGCTGGGGCACAGGGCAGGACGCTCACCACCTGGCCTCGCCGAGGGGACCTTACCCAGGCCGGGGAAGCCCCGCTCCCTCCCGGCTCAGCCCGGGCTGGCGGCCGGCTCGCAGCCCCGCGGCCACGGCGAGGGGCTCCGGCGGCAGCGCCGGTCTGCAGCGCCATCCAGCGGCGGTGTCGGGCCCGGGCCCTTCTCCCGGGGTCACTCACGGCCCCTTTTGTACCCGTCCCCCCCGTCCGGGGCTTAGCCCCCTTCCCCCGCCGCCTCCCCGGAGCCGCTGGCGTTTCCAGGCTGCGGGGGGGTGCGGGGGTGGACGGGGTAGGACCGTGCGGGTGGGAGGGGATGCTTTCGGCTGCCGGCTTGCGATCTTCCCATCCTTCTTCTCCCTCCCTTCCCACCGTTGGATTTTGTTCTCTCTGCCATGGGAAGTGGGCCACCGCGAGGAGGACGGGGATGGGATCCGGCAGAAAATAGTCACTTCCCCGCACAACGTGTGAAATGCAAGGCAAAGCGTGCTAGTGTCGTGTCCGCGGCGTTGGCAGTGGCGGGGGGGTGGCACGTAGGCAAGTGCTATCTCAGGGGTGGGCAGCACAAAGGGCAGGGAAAAAATAAGTATATATGAGAAAGGTAGAAAAACATTCCCCCTTCCACTTCATGCGTCCAACCTGGGCTGTTAATGAAGCTTTTAATAGAAAAGTGGGCCAAGCTGCTTTGGAAATTGTGCAGACTTCCCCTCTCAAATCTGTGTTTTCCGGAGGTGGGAGGTAGAGAGGGTCCGTGTGGTTTTAGGGAGCTGCACCCAACATGCATACCATATCTTGGTCTTCTCGTGGTGGGGTTTTGGGGACCGCGGCCCCATGCACAAAATCAGGCTTGCTGTGGGGAAGAGCGAGGTCAGAAGAGGCTTCAAACTGGAGCTGTGGGGTGGGTAAAAATCAAAGATAGAGCCCCTGGGCTCTGAGCCAGCTTGCTGAGCCCCGGGGTCTGAACCCCTGGGGTCTGAGCCAGCTTTCCCTGTACAGGCTTAATCTCCAGGTGGACTCCTGCTTTCTGCACGGTTTTGGGAACTGGGCACCACGTGGTTGCAGAGACTGTAATGGCATGGAGTCCTAGGGAGGTGGCACAGGCAGGGGTGGCAGGAGCTGTGTGGACACTTGCGTGGTTGAATCTGAGCCCTCAGCAGCCAGGACTACCAGGGGGTGGACGTGACATTTCTTGCTGTCTCTGCGGAGAGGCTTTGCATTATCCAGCTGGCTATGACAAGCCTTCTGTTCGTGCAACATGTGGTTTTGGCTTTCCGGAACCCAATCCCAGCTCCCTGTGCTGAAATTCATGCCCTCGCTCCTGCTCCGAAGGCTGTCTTTGGAAAGAGACGCTGGCTCCTGCCTGCACAGTGTCATGCTCCTCGTTCTGGTTGCAGCAGGGAGTCCCTCCATCTGCCTGTCCCCCAGCCCCTTCTGCCCACTGTGCTGCTCCGTGTGTGGTTTCGGGCTCGTGAGGCTTTGCTCAAGGCAAGTCAGCACTGCAGAAACCAAGACTCTGTCGTTAGGATGATGTGCAGGGAAAACAGAAATGAAACGGTTCTTAGGCACAAGCAAAATGCTTATGCCACGAGGATCAGGCCAGCAATTTCTCGAATTCGGTACTCTTGTCCAAAATCTGCAGCTGTTTCAGGAACTGCCTCTGCTTGGGGGAAGCTCTTTTCTCCCCTCTTCCTTAGCGGCTGGGCTAAGCTGTGCTGCAGGAAAACCTGCCCAGCCCCTCCTCGTTCAGGCCTTCCTGCCCGAATGCAGAAACGTGGCTGCCGGCAGCAGGTAGTCCTGCAGGCACGAGGAGGGGGCAGGAATCAGACTCTGCTTCATATCCCTTTTGAATTCCCTGCCTTTGAGCCCCTTCTTCCCCTTCACTCTGTCCTGGCTGCTCTTCTGGGAGGCATGCTGAGATGGCTAGTCAGTCTGCCAGGGTAAAAAGTGTGGTCCAGGAGACTCCAGAGCAGCAGTAATGGCTCGCGGCTATAAGCAGAGCTGGCCCTTTGGGGTAGAAAAAGCAGCGCAAAGTTCCTGAGCATGGTGTGCGAGGGCAAGGCTGCCATGGGGCATCAAGCAGGTGCCTCCTGCCTAAGTTGAGAGGCAGGTGAAGGATTGTGACAGCCTCGTGGTGGTTAGTGCCTCATGGACACGGATGCTCAACAGGCAGTCTGTGAAAGCTGAGTTTGGCCAGGGGCTGTGTCTGTGCCCAGGGAGCGTTAGGAAGGTTGATTTAAGTCCTGGATCAAACTTTATCTGTGCCCAAGTGTAGGTGTTGAACAGCATGAAAGTGAAGAGAGTTTCCTTCTCATCCCTTTTCTTTTTGTCTTTTGAGTTATTTATTTTTTTAAATAGGTCAGGGTAACGGAAGGAACAAGATTAGCATGAGTAGTGGCACTGTCCTGGCCACAGTAAGAGTAGAAGCAAAAGAAACAACGGGAGGTCTGTGTCCCCGTGCTGCAGAGCACGGCCGGGTCAGCAAGAGGGCTCAGGAGCCAGCCGTGACCCTGAGCAGCACCGTGCAGATGGCTTGTGGGGTGGTTGACAGGGGAGATCACAAGGAACCGCTGCCTTCTCCTCCTGCCTGGTCTGGCTGGGCTCAGGGGAGGGGGATGCAAAGCTGGTGGGTCTGAGCATGGCATCTACAGGAGCAGTCATGGCAGCTCGGTGCCCACCATTGGATGGGGTTGGGATCTTGCTCCCGGGGAGGAGCACCCTGGGGCTGTCAGTATGCTCTGGTAAACTGGACCTGAAGTGTCACCCAGTAAAAGAAAGCGTCTGGACTCAAGGCACTGGGCTTGTGGGATCTGAGCACATCTGGAGAAACCAGGTGGGGTGGGGAGGGCGTCACTGCTTCCCACCTGCGGGGCTCCTGCATGCGGCTTGGCGAGCTTGGCACGGCACGCTGCGTTCCCCTTGCTACGGCAGAGCTCCTGCGCGCTGACCCCCGTGAGGACGCACCCTTTTCCCCTTTCCCTAGTTTTTCCCTTCCCTGTTCCTTACCCTCATCTTCCCACCCCCTCACCCCCCCAAAAATGGCAATGAAAGCATGGAGGGAGGGCGCGTTTCCGCATGGTTTGACACTGTTCCCCCTTCCATCTGTCTTTTCCTACCCAGAATTTCCCTACACCCCGTCTCCAATCGATGATCGCAAATCCATGGTGCAGCCGAACATCCCCACACCGGTGATTGGGGGCATAGTGGGAGGAGTCTCGCTGGTCCTGGTGGTGGCCGTGGTGCTCTTTGTGGTACTCCGGCGCCGGCGTCACACCTTCAAGGGTGACTACAGCACAAAGAAGCACGTGTACGGCAACGGCTACAGCAAGGCCGGCATCCCACAGCATCACCCCCCCATGGCCCAGAACCTCCAGTACCCCGACGACTCGGACGACGAGAAGAAGCCGGGCCCGCTGGGCGGCAGCACCTACGAAGACGAGGACGAGGACGCGGGCGGCGAGCGCAAGCTGGGCGGCCCCAACAAATACGAGGAGGATGCCAAGCGGCCTTACTTCACGGTAGACGAGGGGGAGGCGCACCCCGAACCTTACGACGAAAGGACACTCGGCTTCCAGTACGACCCCGAGCAGCTCGACATAGCGGAGAACATGGTCTCACAGAACGACGGATCTTTTATTTCCAAAAAGGAGTGGTATGTGTAGCTCGGCACCCCATCGCTACACGCACATACACACACACACACACACATACACACACACACACACACGAGTGATGCCCTCCCACTCCCCCTGCACCCCTGCCGAGCGGAGCCGAGCGGAGCCGAGCGTGCCGCGGCCGCTTGCACACCCACTGCACGCACGCTCACCCCCCGCACACGCTCGCACGCCCCCGGCCAGCCCCGGGCGCTCGGCAGAGACTTTGGACGCTTCCAGCACTGCCAGGAAGGGCGGGCTGGGGCGAGCGGGGAGGGAGGGCAGCTTTGCTTACAGATCATTTTTTGGGGGCGTATGGGAGGTGGGAGGTTGGGTAATTATTTTCTTGGATTTGGTTTTGCTTTTTAATTTCTCTTGATGACTTTCGTCCCCTTCTGTGGTGTTTGTATTGGTCGGTGGCTTAGGTGTTACTATTTGCTTTAACGACTGTTGCCCAGCCTGTATATTACACTCTGTTTGTGTCTTCATGTCTCGGAGTGCCCTTCGGCCCCACTTCTCTCCCCGAGGTTCCTCCTCCCACTTCCGCACCCCTGAAACACTGGAATTTGTTTGTATGTTGTCTTCTTTGTTCTTTTTTTTTTTTCTAACCTTGGGAGGGGGTCAAGTGGGCTGTCCCCAGAAGGACAGAGGCCAGAAAAGCTTATGGCAGTGGAAACGTATGTGCCATTATCAGGTGAACTGATTTTTTTTTTCTAATCACTCTCTGTTCAGTGGGGTCTGGGTAGCGTTCCCATTGCCCACTGCACGCCTGGGGACATCCACTCCCAGTTTTTAATGACTCAATGAAAGGAAAATGAGGAGAGAGGGGGGACAAAAAGCCCCTCGAACAAACCCCAGGTGCATGGGCTGATAGCAGGGCAGGGAAACAGAGCTGCCATTTTCCTCCTACAATTTATTATTTCCTGGCTTTTCATTTTCTGTCTTTGTTTGAGTGTTCTTTTAAAAGCAAGAAAAGGAGTATTTATTGCTGACATTTTTTCCCCTGTGATGGCTCAGAGAAATGCTGGCTCTTTTTGTTCTTGTTGCTGTTGCTATTACCAGCCACAGAGCAGTTAACTCTGGCACACCAGTTGTGCGTGGTGTGTTGTGCACACACCTTGCTGCCACTGCCTGGGGAAGGAGACCAACCCATACTGCTTCGCTGCTCCCACGAACTCACTGCCCTCAGCTCTGGTCAGCAGAGCCTGGCAGGGCACATCTCCCATCCAGTGTCTTTGAGGGCTGCAGTCCGGGGTCAGGCCCCTAAGTTTTGTTATACCACTAAGACTTAATTGTCACGTGTTTACACTTTTTTTTTTTTTTTTTTTTTTGGGTCGGGTGAGAATAATCCGTAAACAGAGCTGGGATTATACTCCTCAAAACAATTATTTTAAGAGCTATAAATTAAAGTTACAACTATCACTTTTTTTTTTTACTTTTTTTTCTTTCTTTTTTTTTTTTTTTTTTTTTTTTTTTTTGGGTCAGAGCACAGAGGCACTTCCTTCTGACTCTCCTAGCAACAACCCCAGCACTTAGATATATTGCTTAGTCTGCATTGATTGCCACTTATTCAATATCACATCCCTCTTCTGAGCAAAGGCTTCGTAGACAGGGCAGGAATGAGTGAGCCTGGGGTATTGATCTTGTCCTCCTTCCCTTGAGCCACTGCGATGTGATGGGGAGGCTTGGATTGCTGCTATCTCTGCTCTGTGGATAAATGGGATTCCAGACTTCAGGGCCCTCAGTCTGACACTGACCATATCCAAATTAGATTCACTGGGTTGGGGCTTATTTTTCTTCTTGTGGGTTGTTTTTGTTTTGTTTTGTTTTTTAATTTGATGTATAAATAAATCTTTTGTTTGAAAAGAAATCCCCAGTTTTCTGAGCTGTATTATCATGCACATCTAAAAATAGCAGGACTAATTCTCCTCCTGCCTTACCCGCTGGGTTTTGTTCCGTGCCATCCAGCGGTTATCCTGCTGCAAGAGGGAAGGTGGAGAGTCAGACCCACGCAGAGGAGTCAAGGCCAGATCTCTGATCTTGGCAGCCTCCGATGCTTTCCTTTAGCGTGTGGTGTTTGGTCCAGGCAATGTGAAGCTCAGCCCGAGCCCTCCACAGTTTGTAGCTTGCTCTTACTGCGTTTGTGGTGTAGGGGAGTGGGAAATCCGATTGCTAGGCTGTAATCTTTCTGCTGTTCCTGCCAGCCCTCCCTGCTTCCTGGCTTCTGGCAGAACAGCCAAATGCCACAGGAAGGCTGCTTTATGTCCACTTGAAACAGGGCAGACAGAGATTCCCTCAGGATCTCTTGGGCTGAACCTTAAAAAAATACAGCTAAACCTTCCCGTGTCCGTCCACTGCCACCAGGAGCACCTGGCTACCGGGCAACCCCCAACAAAGAAAATGAAATCTCTTAACATCTCTCCCTATCTCTGATTACTAGTAGGTGCTGATTATTAGGGGTTTTGTAAACCTGCGGAGGGAATGACTTCCCTCCAGTGCCTTGAGATAACAGCATACACAGGGCTTTAATTGCCAAAGTCTGAAGCCTGTGATCTGGATCAGGACAAAGCATTGCTGAGCACTGTACCTTCATCACAGCTTACTTTAATGAAACATGGGGCATGTTGCAGATCCTGCATAGTTTGTGCATAATCCTTTAGATCTGTATTTCACAACCAGGCTCTAAAGAGGGTTGTGAAGTCTCCAACACCAAACTCTGGGTGGTCCGTGACCAAGCGCAGAGTGGAAATCAGTGGCACAGACCCTCCTCTGCAAATTTCCCCCAGCACAGATACATGCTGAGAGGAGATGGATTTGGAAGAAAATAACCTTTTTTAAAATCTGCAGGGTCCAGCAGCGATTCTTTCATGTCCTGCATTAGTCACAGGCAGGGGCCACTGATCTGATCTGGCAAATTCACATGGCACTGATTCCACCACACTGCGGGGCCCCAGCCCTCAGTGAAGTTGTGTCCTAAAGATCAAAGGTACAGACCCTTGCAAACAGAGCAGATGGGCCTGGGAGAGAACAGGATGCTCTGACTGTTCCTGAGTTAAGGCATAGCTTGCAGGAAACATGGACAAGGAGTCCTAAGAAACATGCTTTGGTCGTTATCAGCCTTGCACTTAGAGGTGTCATTTTTTGAGATGTAGCCTCCTTGACTTATTCATTGCCCATTCACAGTGTCACCATAGTTGGCTGAATCAGGGCTCAAAAAACCAGTGGGACTCAGAGAAAGAAAAGGAGATAGCAGCACAATATGGTATTTCCTATTTCCAAGCTAGAGCCAATACACAGTTCCCCTCTTGCTGAATCATGCTTTTTGTTCCCCAACCCTGCACTAGCACAAGTCTAGGAAAGAGCTCAGCCACTTAGCTCATCAGTGTGGTTCAGAAGAGCAGTCAAATGATTACCTTTCATCCAGAACCTCGGCAAGTCTGTAGTGGAAGATCCTTAGACAGTATTGCCTGGCACAGCAGTGAGATACCGTGCAAGTTCAAGGTTCAGTAGTGCATTCCTGTCATTCTTGGGCCCTTCAGTGTTATTCCATTGGTGCAATTATCCCCACAGCCATAGAGAAATGCCACCTCTGTGCAGTGATTCACTTCTTGCTGTCCCTTGCAAGGTCAGCTAATTGGCCAAGAGACTCTTGAGGTGGTAATTAGCCAAGTGATTAGCCATTAATCCATAGCAAGGTAGAAGAAAAAAGAAGTGGTGATGGTGGGGAAATCAGATTGATGTTTCATCTGAGAGCCATTTTGATCCAGTAATAGCATCACTCCCTTCCCTGGGTTTAATTGCTCTGAGGGGACCCTTGAAGGTAATTAGATCAGGTTTTCCACCAGCATCAGGAAGAAAGTGCTACCTGTCACTACCCGAATGTGAGAGTGAGCTCAGTAGAGGTGCCAAATTGAAGGCCATGTGCATCCTGCTTCCTGCAAGGTGCTGCCAGGGAATGAAAGTGCTGGAGACCACGCAGAACTCACCCTGAAGGGGCAACCTGCCCGGTGGCTCCAAGCACCTCCTGGTGCCGGGGCTGTGAGGGGAGCCAGAGGGGCAATCACTCTGTTCTGTCCTTGGGGACCAGTTCCAATTGTCCCTTTGTGCCTCAGTTTCTCTCAATGGGCTAGATTCTGGCAGGCTGGAGTCAAGCCGCCGACTTTAAGTGGTGCCACACTTAAGCAGTGCTGGCCGGGCCACCTCTCCAAGGGACACTCAGCCTGCCTCCAGTGAAAAATGCCCTGCTTCTCCACCCCCTTTTCATCAGAGGTGCTAAGGAGCTGTAAAACATCCCTGGGGGGAACCTTCAAAGAGCAAAGGGAAGCCTCCAGTTGGGAGATGGCAGCCGTTGGTTGTGGTGTCCCAGCTCCACACCAGCAGTGGAGGATGGGCTGGTGTCCCCATCCCTTCTCAGTTCCTGGCACCTGCTGTGGGCACAGCATTGGTTGTGGAGATGCTGAGGAGCTGCTGCTTTCCAGGAAAAGCCCTTGTTTTACACTGGACCTGAACTGGTGTGTGGCGTTAGTGATGCCCAAGTTGGATTTCTGCCCAGGAAGCACCATGGCACTGGTTGGGGACTGGGTGCCAGCAACGTGCCTCAGAGGCAGGGCTGGTTGCCGTACCTCCATTTGAAGGGATCATTGTCCAGATCCCTTTGCTGGGTTCTTGCCAGCCAAGAGACATATATCAGCGTGGTGCTTTTCCCTTCCCAAACCCTGACCCCGGATGGCAACTTGAGGCAAAACTTGTGGTACCTCAAGGTTAAGATGGGTGGATGGGAAAGCTGAACAGGCAGATGAGGTCAGTCTGAGCCTGGTACATCGGTCTGGGTCTCACCACCATCACAGGACAGAAAATGCAGGTGAATTTGGGCCATGCCCCCCAACTCCTTCCCTGTGAGTATTCAGGAAGAGGTACTGACAGACACATCTGTGTCACAACCCCAAATCAGCCTGTAGTTTATCTACAAAGACACCCCAGCTGTTTTCCTGCTGGGGCTTATCGCAAGGATTATTCATTGCAATTCACCCTAGTGATGTTATTTTCCTTTATTTAATTAC